ATATAAGGAAGATTTCCATATATACTTCCTAATGGTTTATCAGCAGGTCCACAAAATCCAAAATCACTAATATACCAATGTCCAGTATATTCGGAATATAATATATTTCCTGAATGCAAATCTCTATGAATAGAACGTTCTTGATGAAGGCTTAAAACTGCACTGATTATGTTTTTAATTATGTTGATTCTTTGTTTCCATTTAAGTTGGTTATGATTTTGTTGTAAATAATGTCTTAAATCTATTTTGAATAAGAACATTACAAGAAAATAATCTTTATTTAGTGGATCTTGAGTAAGACCATAAGATTGAGCGAAAACTGGCCATTTACTGCTTAATATTAATTGAGATTCAGCCTATTAATTAAAATTTGATTGATTAGTTTCCTTCTTTCTATTTTTTTTTTATTTATAAAAACAAACAATTATTAATACTTTTAAAATTACATACCTCTTCAAACCACCTTCTATTAGCACTTTCGGCATTTCCTAATCTTTTAAGTATGATTTCTTGTCTTCCATATCTTATTAATTGTTTTTTGATAGAATCCCATTTTACATAACTTCCATCAATCCAATCTGCTGTAAATATTTCTGAACATCCACCTTTAGTTAAATATTTGATATTTTGCAATTTATCGAATGGGATCCATTCAACGATTCTATATGGAAGAACAGCTTCCATCTGACATTTCTTTATTAAATTATCAATTTCATTATTTCCAGATGTCCATTCTGAAAATTTTAATTTTAAATAATTTCGAATGCAATGTTCGCAATATGTTATAGCAAAACGTTTTTGTTTGCAATTTTCACAAACTCTTTTCATTCCTTCATTATAGATAATCTTGTCAAATTCATAACTTCTATTTAATTTTAATATTGCCGCTGATTTTTCCTCGTCTGTGAGAGATTTGTCAGCGTAAATTGTTTGTTGTCTAAATTCATGACGTTTGTCTATGTCTTTGTAAATGTTATAGTCAGTTAATGCAAATGCTCTAGTATATGCATCGTTAACTAATTCAATACGAATGGAGGACATAACGATAATGCAATGAAATAGAAATTATTCAAAAAAAGAAAGTTTAACGGGAATAAAACTCCGTGTTTTATTCCAAATAGATTATGATCGACCTTTGTTCTACGTAGCAAAGATCACAATTTTGTTTAACATGACTAATACTGCGGAAGGCACAGTCGTTGCATAAATGAACACTTTAAACCAATTGGAATATTATTCGGAAGGCTATTTGTATGCAGCATTATTATATTTTTCGAGAAATATATTTCTAAACCTAACCCATCGTACTAGGTATTGGAATCGATTCTACTAAAAACGAATTGATCGCAAAAAAATAAAATTATATATATAAAATATTTAAAGATTTAGAAATTATTAGCGGAATGATCAAGAAAATATGCAGAAAAAGTCGATAAACCAAATAAAAAAATCTATCCTATGCCTTTCCAAAGCGAGCAAACCTAAATGTGAATGAATAAATAAGAATAACCATATTAAAAGAACAAAACGGAAAATAAAAAATTTGTCGCTGTACGATTTGAATAAAAAATAACAAAATGATCAAAAAAAAAATGAAAACAAAATAAAACACTCCTTCCAAAGTATTTCTACTCAAAAAAGATTCCTTAAAATAAATAAAATAAAGAAGTAAAGAAAATAAAAACAAAAACTTTGATTACTGCGATCGAAAATCGCAAAGTAATTAAAAAAATTAAAAAAAAATGCTGCGCCTCTAGCGAAACGAAAATTATTGATTTTCCGATTCCTTCCAAGGCTATAGAATAAGATCTCGCTTTGTTAAAAGAATTTGACATTTAAGAATCTCTGCATTGTCGTAAATTTAAGGGATATCGTTTCTTTGAAGAATTCGCCTTATAGTTATCCAATTTATAAAAATTATATGGGAATTTTTGCATAATGTTGTGAATTATCAAAGGAATAGAATTGATTCAAAAAGATGAAATCGATTAATCGCGATTAAAATTTTCTCGATTCTTAAAAGGAATTGCCAAGAAAGATTAAATTATCAATAAAAAAATTGTATTTTCATAAATTTGACATTTTGTGAAAAATAGATACTTTATTGGTGTAACAACTAAACATATTTTATTCGGAAGTACGAAAAATGTGTATTTTAATTTCATTTCATTGTAACAATAAACTTCAAGAACGTTAAAATCTAACATTAATCCCAAGATAATATTTCTATTTTAAAATCTTTTTCAAAATCTCTATGTCCATAAACGAATTTTATGACTCTTATTTAAGCAAATTTTTTTTTTTTTTCGATGTGGCACTGCCTTATTTAAGCAAATTAATTAGATTAACGTTACACAAACTATATTTTTTAAAAATTTTCGAAAAAGCTTTATAAAATGCAATGCCTCGTCAATATGATACGACCCTGTTCATTTTTAGACCAGATTGATCGGGCTGGAAAAAATAATAAATATGATTTTCGTCGACGCAAAAATAAAAGTTTTGAAGATAACATTTATTGACTCAAAAATAAAGTCGGGATGGGATGTAATTGGCCGATTAAACATAAGGTGCAACAAAAACGGTTCAAATAACGTTCTTGACTGTTAGTAATAAAATATAGAAATAAAGTATTTGAATAATAATTTGTTGTAACAAATTGTTACTAAACAACACAACATTTTTTTTAAAAAAAAGAATTTTTTTATTACACATTATAATGATTGCAAAGAAAAAAAAAGCTGAAACAGATACTTTTTTTATCCATGATTACACAATATAAAAAAATAATTTAGTAAAATGTATCATTAGTGTTTACGTCAGTTTTTATAAACGAAAGGATGGTAAGAAAAAGCTTTTTTAATTAGGTCAAATATCGTTGCGAAATTGCTGCGGTAACCAAAAAATTATTCTACTTGAAAATTCTAATTAACAAAACTAGAAGCACTTTTTTTGAATCCGTCGTTTTAATACTTAATTCGTGATCCGCCTGGGAAGCAGTAATCGACATATAATACATATGGGGACGATTTATATGTATTTTAAACTTTTTCAGAATCCTTCTATTCCACCTAACTAAATTGCTTCTAAAACATGCCAAAGCAAAAAGAATATGTAGTTTCACTTATCTCTCCAGGGGAACTTGTGGACACCTTGCATTTTGGACCATATGCTAAAGATTGGTGGCTAGCTCGCCCAACTAAAGACAATACAGAAAATACTCCTTTTTATCCAATTCGTCCTGGAATGAAAACACTTACTACAATAAATAAACGTGACTTTATAATAACAGTAGTTCAAGGAAATATTGAAGACACTAGAAATCCTGACTATAATGAGCTTCAGCCTGGGTATATATGTCAATCTGAAGGTTTACGTAGTATTGTATGTAAAAGTTCATCACAAGCAAATACTTCAGTATATCAAAAGGCCTTTCCTACTAAAACAAAACTCGCTGGACCTTTGGTTATGGGATTTGACATTCCACATATATCTGAAGCATTACTTTCTGACGTTCATTTTCGTCCTTTCACTTTTAAAATTGAGAATTTGAATATAATGGTTTTTAGTATTGGTGTATCAAATAATACTAATTGGAATTATGCGGGTGAGGGATATAAGAGTTCTTTTATGTATTTTTTTCATAATGTCCAATCGTTATTTTTTCAAGAATTTGAAGATGATGAAGCAATTGTTAGAATTTATAGGAAATTTCAAGAAATATGCATTTTTCGTGATACTGATCCTAATTTAATTTGGAAGAAAGTTAGAATATTATCACAATTTAAAGGAAGTGTACTCTTTGGACTTGAACATGATAAAGTAAAATTAGTAATCGATAAAGAAAAATTTTCTTATTATACAATTGATGATTGGCAAAATAATGAAATTATGAATAAACTTTTCAATTACTATTTAAAAAAACGTGTTTTAATATCTGTTAATTGGAAAAACCTTTTTATTAAATGGAAAAATCAAAAAAGTGATATTATTGAATTAACACAGGAATTGGAAGAAATGTATCCAACTGGTTATATTATCAAAGATCGTAAATTTCGTGCATGGAAAGCTTTATTACGTCATGCTGGCTGTACCAAGATAATACATTTCAAAAAATAAAAGTCTAAGGTATATGTAATTAAAAATTTCAAAAGGATTTTTAGAAAAATATTTATGCCATCTTTTTTTTCAGTTTGAATTTTGGACACGATCAAAAGACCCAGAAAAAGACAAGGACACATTAACACAACTGTATAATTGTGGATCTCTTCAAACAACTTCTAATAACTATACGTGACAATTTTGTGATGCATTTCAGGATGCATTGGATAGTAATATTCGTGGGATTAATGGTAAAAGAAGGATATTGTCTATTATTGCTGATAAATTTTCATATGAAACAATTAAACAAAATTTATTGGTTAGTATTTGTATCATAGCTTAAAATAAAGTTTGTGAAATTCTAATAGTAATTTGTATAATATGATATTTACAATTAGGTTTCTAATTATTCAATTACTGAGTCACGTCACTATGCACGTATTAATGATCCAGGAGGTGTTCAAATGGTAAAGCCAAAAATTATTTCCGAACGATTATCACCTGAAAAAAAAGAACAAATTGAAAATTTTTTTCAAAACAAAACAAATGTTATAATGAGTTCTTATAAAACAGATAATGATAGTGGATTACCTGTATATTATTTGAAAAATACTAAAAATGCTTTGTGGGAACGATTTTACGAAGAATATCCAAATGGTCTTAAAAGGACAACATTTTATGGATATTTACAAGGAAATCGATATATATATAAAGAGGATTTGGGATGTCTCTGTTCGATTTGTAATATTTATGGATATGAATCGTTTGATGAGCTTCAAAAGTTAATACAATGCCATGTTTTAAACTTGAATTTGCAGGTAAACATTTTAATAATCAATTAACATACCTCAGTTAAAATCTACTAATTGATATCATTTT